TTTTTTCAATATTTATACTTTATATCTTTATAAAAATTTATTATATTTATTTACTTCTTTATTGTTCATAATATAACATGTTACTTGATGTATATGAGATAGAATTTAACGTGACATGTTAAAACGTATTTTAGTTAATATAAAATTATGTATTTTAATGTGATAATGATGTAAAACAAAAATTGAAAAAACAAATTACATATCATAAATTAAATAAATAACTATAAATGTAAATATTAAAAATATTTTTTCATGGTATATAATATATAATAATATAATTAAGTCAAAAAATATTCAATATTGGGCTTATTTCGAAGGTATTGATGTGACGATTATAATGGTGTAACTTGTTAAAATTAAAACGTATTTTTTAAATATATTTTAATTGATATACGATTATATATGTTAATTTGATCAGGGTATAAAATGAAAAATTTAAAAGGAAATAACGTAAAGTAAATTAATTAATTAATTATAAGGATATAAAATGTAAATTTAAATTTTTAAAATTAAAAAAAGTGAATAGGTGTGAGTGTGTGAGGAGAGTAATATGTGAGGGAGATAGTGTGAGAGGAGATGGTATGTGAGAGGGGAACATTTGAGAGGGGTAGAAAGTCATCACGGGGTGGCAATATCAACCCCTTTTTAATGTGTTTGGATGTGCGAGTCTACGTGCCTTTCCATGGGGTAGAGTTGTCTTATTCGATATTAATTTATTATAATATTTGAATACTTTTATACAGAAACTTTTGAATGATGTATTGTTACTTTTATTTACTTTTAAAAGCTAGATAAATTTATCAGAAAATAATAACAAAGAGTGGTGTTTGATTGGTTTAAGTTTGGCTCCAAAGTTCAAAAGTACCAGGAGGTCTCGGATTTAAATCCAAGGAGGAATGAAAATCCCCTTGTGGCCACGGGGGTTCAAATACGGTGATTTAGGGCTATCTGCAAAGCAGGTGGTCGTCCTGAGATTAGTCGGCTCGTATAGCGGGTTAGATATCCAGGTTAATCAAAAAAATATATATATATAAAAGGAAAATTTACTTAAATAATTATTTATCCATTTAAATTGATCTTCTAATCATTTCTTTTCCGGATTTAACCAAATGTCATTACGTCTGTAATATCCACATCCGTAATATTGCGGACCTGACTAAAAGACAAAAAGAATTATTAGATTCAATCCAGGTATGCAATTGCGATGGCGAGGTCCGCAATTGCAATGGTGCCACTTCCTAACCTGGTGGAATTTGAATTATTTTTTGTGTTTAGCCAATTCCGTAATATTACAGATGTGGATATATATTACAGACGTAGTGATATTTGAGTAGATCCGAAAAAGTGATAACTCAAATCTTTTCCATATCAATATCTATGAAACTAGGCGAATCAATTTCCGTATATAAAATGAAAGTTCAATTGTAAAATTAAATTATATTAATCGGTTGGTATGTGTCAAAGTGTCAACACGTTTATATAGAAAAAAACATATGATCTGATCGTAAAAAGTGTTTCTAAAATCTTGCATTGGAAATGCACTTACTAACCACTTATTTGTTGAAAGCCAAATTACCTTTTCAAGTTATATGGAGCTTTTATGCATAATAATTAGTTTCAAATGCTTATCCGATAATTAAGCTCTTAACAGTAAAAGTCAATATTTTTACTTAATTTAATGGGTTGGGTTTTAGTCCATTAAGACAACATCGAATGTAACATTTTTATCTAGTAAATGCTTACCAGAAAAGTTTCGTTACTCTCACTTACCGAGTAAGACTCTTGGTCCTTGTCATCGCTTTTACCTGGTAAGATTAACAATTCTTGTCGTATTCATCCGATAAAATTAAGGGACCAATAAACACTTACCGGATAGTCGCAACCGTATGATAAGCGGTCCCAAAGTTCGATAAGGGAAACTTTAATCTAAATACCATATTTTAGTTTGCTCTTGGAAAAAATCTGATTGGACTTTTTGACCTAGACCAAAGCACTACAAAATCCATAAAAACAACTCCAATTACTTGTATGTATATGTACATACTCACCGGATGAAAAGCTACCAATGTGTTCCTTAGTTTTCATTTTTTTTGCAGGATCTGGACACTTGATCAATTTAATCTCAAACTCACCCATTTATCGCGTTTGATAAGGGGATTGATCAAGTGCATCTGGATGATGCATTTCATTCTAATGTGTATCCAAGGGTGAAGATCACCGAAACTCGATCCTATATACGCACACACACTACTAGAAAACTAACTATTTCCGGAAAAATATCCAACGGAAAAATCCGCCAGAAAAAATAGTAGCGGATTTCTAGCGGAAATCAAAAAAGTTGACTTTCGCCAAAAATACACCACTATTTATATTCCGGAGTTATTTCAGGCGGATTTCCGACGGATTGTATAAATTAAATATTTGAGAAATTATTAACGCTAATTACAATAAATTACCGGCATATTTTTTATTATTTTATTAAGATTAATGTCCGCCAACCACAAGGGTGGTGCTTGATTGGTTTGAGCTTGGCTCCAAAGGTCAAAAGTACCAGGAGGTCTCAGGTTCAAATTCAAAGAGGAATAAAAATCCTCTTGTGGCCATGGAGGTTCAAATGCGGTGACTCCGGGCAATCTGCAAAGCAGGTGCTCGTCCTGGATTAGTCAGCTTGCATAACGGGTTGGATATCCAGATTAATAAAAAAAAAAAAATTAAGGTCCGCCGGTAATCCTCCGTAAATAATTAAAGATTAAAATTTATTATTTTAAATTACCGGCAGATGACGGTGGCCGCCGGTAATTTAAAATAATAAATATTTCAAGATTTTTTAAAAAAATATTACTGTTTTCTGGCGGCAATTTTCCGACGGATTTCCGGCGGGTATTTGAATATTTTTTTATTATATAACTTTAAGCTCATATATCTGTTTTTTAATTGTAGGTTGTGCATAACGGAGAATGATATCTCTAGGGCACAATAAGATTTTGTATTTGCGTTATTYTTTTTCGTTACATAGCTTGGTAGTTGATACTTGATACTCATATAAATACTTGTACAACTTCGAATTTTGTTCTATCGAATCACTCTCGTATATGCTTCTAAATGTAATATTACAGTAGGATTTTATAATTGGATGATGCGTCTCGCATTATAGTCATTTAGGACGCTTGTAGTATTAATTAATATAGCCTATTATGACACTTTTTTAGTACTTAGTTCATTTTATAGGACACTAAAATTTGTTTCATAAAACCATTTTTTGGGACATTGAATTTCGTCCTATAAAAACATTTTTTGGGAYGCCCATATTTGTTTCTAAATGTAAACATTTTGTGACAACATAAAGTGTCCTATATTATAGTCTATTAGGACACTTTTTAGTGTTACTAAAACCATTTTATAGGACTATGGGTTNGGACACTTTTTAGTGTTACTAAAACCATTTTATAGGACTATGGGTTTTGTATCATAATCCTAGAGTTTTTTAGGACACTCAAATTCATCCTATTAACCTAATRCAACACCTTTAGATGAGACACACACATTTTTTGTCCTATAAACTTAAAAGTCCTATTAACTACTTTATTAGGACACTAATGAGTGTCCTATAAAGCCCTTTTTGTTGTAGTGAATAGATGTTAGTTGGGCTTTAACGGTTCTATTGGGCTTTAATGGTTCTTATTAAGTTTTTACTGAATCTATTGGGTTTTATTTGGTCATATTGGGTTGTTGGACTTTAATGGTTCTTATTAAGTTTTTACGGTTCTATTGGGCTTTAGTGGTTCTTATTGGGTTTTACGGTTCTACTAGTAGTAGTAGCAGTAGTAGTAGTAGTAGTAGCAGCAACAGTAGTAGGAGTAGCAGTAGGAGCGGCAGTAGTAGCAGCAGTAGTAGTACTAAAAATCCGGTGGATTACAGGAGGATTTTTCTGTCGGAAAATGAAATTTTCAAAATTTTCAAGAAAAACCAGTTTTTCAAAAATTTTAAAATATTTCCGGCATACATATCCATCAGAAAATTCTAAAATAAAACCATATCCTCTTTCTCAGATCGACAACCACTGTTTACCCCAAATCTCAAATCGACTCAATACGGACATCCGCCGACTTCCTTTCCTTGCCACCGACCTCCTGCCCTACCGCCAACCTCCTTCATCTGCCGCCGACCTCCTCACCTTTGCCGGTATGTATATATAATTTTATATATGTAAATATGTACTATATGTATATATGATTTTATGTATGTATATGTAAATATATGTATGTATATATTTGTCTTGTTATGAAAGTTATTGGTGAATGAACAATTTGGATTTATATAATTGCTTAAGATTTATTTCAAAATTTTCAAAAATGTTAATTTGAATTCTGTTGTTTAAAATTATTATAGGATATGTCACTAGTAGAATTTGTTAATAACATGTTAGCATTAACTCTATTCTTGAAAATTGTTTTTAAAATTGTTATTTATTAGAAATGATTTGTCAATTGTTGGGTAAAAGTTGAGATTTGTATTTATAGGTCTAGTTGAGGTATATTTTGTGTTAGAAATGGGTTGTAAATTGTTGGGAATACGTTAAGATTTGTATCCATAGATCCAATTGAGGTATATTTTGTGT